GGTCACCTCCAACTTGGCAGTCATGGAAAATAGAAAGCATTTCTTTTAATATCAGGGCTTGACACATTCTCTAACTTTGAAACAAACTCTACACCTTTACCTTTGTTTTAAATACAGAAAGCTTTTTCCTGCTAAGCAACTTATCAACTTTGGGCCATTTTTTCTTTTGTTGAGTGATCAGACATTTTCTAGTATCCACTCTATTATCTGAATTTATTTTGAAGTCCATGGCCTAAGACAGTGATATGGTGAACCTATGACACGTATCAGAGGTGACATGCGAACTCATTTTTTCTGTTGATTTGTGCACCGGGCCTCTAGTTTAAATATATAAAATAAATATCAGAAATATAAATCTTTGTTTTACTATGGTTGCAAATATCAAAAAATTTCTATATGTGACACGGCACCAGAGTTAAGTTAGGGTTTTTCAAAATGCTGACACGCCGAGCTCAAAAGGTTCGCCATCACTGAGCTCAAAACGTTCGCCATCACTGCTCTAACCACTAAGCAAACCAACTAGGGCGAGTGCCAACAATTTCTGGGGCAAGTGATGAAAGCAGGAGGAGTGCATATGTGACAAGGAAAACTCAGGCTCTTCCTGGGGAGCTGCCTACATCAGCTCATGAGATCTTTATGCTTTTCCAGGTCAGAAAGAGTGGGCAGGTAGCCACTCTTAGCACCCCCCCACCCCCATCCACTTTACCAGGTTGGCACGGCCATCCCCCAGCTGTTTGGCCTAGAAGCAATGACTGACAGAGGCCGGGGTACAGCTTGGCCCCCTTGCCTCCCAGCAGGTCAACCTCCCTGTGGGTCAGGCTGTGGCTGAGCCTCCCCAGAAAAGCCTTCTGAGTTCGACAGAATGTAACACACACTCACCCCAGAAGAGGAGCAGGCTGAAGGTCCACATCGTGCTGCTCCTGCCATTCAAAGAGGAGGACCTTCTCTGCATCCTCGGGCTTTCCAATAAAACAGAGGGTGTCGGGGGAAGGGGAGGAGGGGGCGGAGCAGGAGTTGCTCAATTACTGCCAGTGCCTCATGGACCGTTTTTTTGCTGAGTTGCTGCCACTCCTGCAGACAGTGTGCAAACTCTCAAATTCTCCTTTCTCCACGGAGAAGAGAAGTTGGTCTGGCTGGTGGGCCGCTATGTTCTCTCTCCCTCTCTCTCTCAGCTTCCCCCCTGTTCTTTTTTTCTTCCCAACCAACATCTGTCTCCCATTTCTTATCACCTTGTTTTATTGCAGCCGATACTAAACGAGCTTCGGCCACCTGCCCCCAAAGAAGCAGCCCCAAGCTCCAGGGCCTCTGCGCTCATTGTCACGTACCGGGCCCTGCGCTAGACACATGGCTAACAAAATTTAACAACATCGTCGCGTCAACATCGCAAAGTAGGAATTTCAACTTCACCTATTTTACCAAAAAAAATGGAAAAGGAAGGCTTTGGAGAGGAGATGTGCCAGGTTCAAGACTGCCTGAGGACCTAAGATTCGAATCCAGGGCCCTCTGCCAAGTGTAGAGATTTGACTATTTCACCTTCCTCAGCTCCCCACTGTATCTGATCACATCACTGCCATCGCCACGGTGCACAGCAGCACGCTCACCCCTTCCCGGCCCCAACTCAACACACACACAATCTCATTCCTGTGTAGGTCTAGGAATGCCTTCGTAAGGGTCCCCCGGCAGCAGATGCCGAGGCAAGGATTCTAGTGAAAGTAGTTTCTCAGGAAACTCGGGGGGTGGGGGGAGGTTGTGAGGCTGGGCAGGGATCCAACCCACGAAGGGTGTTAACAAGCCACATACATGTGACAACCTGGGCTTAACCTCATTGGGCGCCTCTTGAAGGTGGCATAGAGCCCACTCTGCAGCGCTATCCCAACTGAGGGCGAGGGAGCTGGGGTATTTATCCACCAGCTACTGTCAGGCATACATTGAACCTCGCATCAGCCCATGACACCTCGGGCCAAACAGGCTCCAGAGACAGAGGCCAGTCTCCCATGCGCTGAGGGTGTGGGGAGGCACCAAGAGCATCCACCAGGAGCTAAAAACGAGGTGCAGAAACCACCCCAAATTCCCTGGAAGAAAATGTGCTGCCGGTTCTTGCCTTCTCCCTTTTGCTCTCTGCAAAGCAAAACACCCATCTTGGAGTTATGGCCACTAGAGCAGATGCATAGTGGTCCCCTGTTTGTGCATCCAGGGGTCCTGCCCCCAGAAGCTGCAGTTAAGAGCCAGTGTGAAAACATGGCAAATTGCACCAAGAAGAGGCTAAACAGAGCTGCCTGGTGTCTAAGAGAGGCTCTGGAGGATAAGCGCAGACTCTGGAACCAGATGGCACATCCCCAGGGGTGGGGTTGAAATCCCATCTCTACCATTTGCTCGTCATGTGGGGTCCTGGGAAAGTTCTCAGTCTCTCTGTGTCTCAACATTCCCATCTGTGAAATGGGCCTGATGATAGTAAAATCTACTTCACGGGGCTGACATGAGCATCCGAGGACTGGGGGTGTGTGACACACAGGAAAGGCTCCATGTGTTGGCTATTATGATGACAGACCTGGGATTGAATCCTGACTCTGCAAGATATTCCCAAAGTGACCTTGGGTGGTGGCTTACCTCTCTGGGCCTCAGTTTCTTCATCTGGAGAATGGGCATAACATAGGCTCTGTTTCCAAGGGTCATTGTAGGGGGAACACAGTACATGAGGTAATACTGCCATCTGGGAGGGGCTGCTGGGGCTCGTATTGTCATCTATAATCCTGCTCAGCGCATCCAGGAGTGTGGGGCAGGAGGCAGGCAGACCAGCTCGGTCATTTTAACACATGTCCACAAATGCTTCGGTCCTCCTCCCTTCAAGAGGGGTGCCTAAACTCTCTTTCCTTGAATGTGCACTGGACTTAAGACTTGCCTCTAATGAACAGGGTAAGGAGGATGTGACATCGTATATCATCTGAGATTATGGCATCAGACACAACTGAGGTCATAAGAGTCCTTGTGGCTCCCCCCTTGCTCTCTCTTTTCAGGGTCACTCGCAGAGTGGAGGGAAGGAGAGCCGGTCACTATGTTGGAAAGGCACACAGCGCTACGGGGAGCCCACGTGTGGGGACCAAGGACTCCAGACAGCAGCTGACGGTCACCTCATGAGAGACCCCGATCCACAAGCATCCAGCGAAGCCAGCGCCACCTGCCTGACCCTCAGAAACTACAGGAGAAGAAACAATGTGTCCTGTAAAGCTGTTGAACTTTTAGAGTAACTGTTACACAGCAAGACGTAACCAACACACCACAAGCAATTGTCCGCATCGGTAAAATGAGGGTAACAATGATCTCACAGGGTTTGAGGCTTAACGCGATAAAGGCCATAAAACCCTTCCCGGTACAAATTAAATGCTCAGTAATAGAAGTTATGATTGTCATTACTAGTGTCCACTGTGCTAAATGAGCCACCAGCGTAGAGGCTTGAAACAGCACAAATTCATGATGTTATGAGCTCAGAGCCCCAAATGGGTCTTTTGGGGCTGGAGTCAAGATGTCAGGGGGCGCCATTCCTTTTGGAGGCTCGAGGGGAGAATCCATTCCGTGTCTTTTCCAGCTTTTAGAGGCGCCCACATTCCTGGGCTCAAGGCTCCCTCCGTCATCTTCCAAGTCAGCACTGTCTCACCTTCCAGCCAATTAAACCCTCTCTCTCATTAGATAGATGATAGCTATCTTGATTAATCTTTCTCATTCTCTCTGTCTCTCATTAGATAGATAAGATGCCTCAATTAATCTTTCTCATTCTCTTTCTGTCATTCTTTCTCTCTCCCTCAACTTCCCTCTTAAGAAGACCCGTGTCGTTACATTAGACTCACAGGGAGAGTCCGGAATAATGTCCCCATCTCAAACCCCTTAACGTCACCTCCTCTGCAAAGTCCCTTTCGCCTGGCAGGTCACATATTCACAGGTTCTGGGATTTGGATGTGGAGGGGTTTTCCCCACCTCAGATGGGGGCTGGGGTCCTGGTGAGTGAGGACACAGGTGCCAGTTACCCTTCAAACCCAGAGGCGGTGACCAAGGCTATACAATCTGGGCAGCTGAGATCCTGCAGGGACGAGGGGAGGAGAAGGGGAAGCACGGGCCGGAGGAAACGCACAGCTGCTTGCAGAAGCCTAACCCCCTGTGACTTTCCCTGCAAAGGGGAAATCTAGGGGCGCTCCAGATTGAAGAAGTCAGCCTGGAGGAGCCCCAGAGACATCATGTATCTGCACACTGAACGTGGGGGAATTCCAGGGCAGCCCTTCCCAACTTGACCATGTCCCTCCTATGTTCTAAGTCCTCCCATGGCTCCCTATTACCTGCGGATGAAGTGCAGGCTCATGAATACATCAAGACCCTGCCAGGTCTTACACTGGTCTCCTCCTCTGGTCTCATTGCTCCCCACCCCCTGCCAGAGATCCCAGTCATCCTAGACTAACTGTAGCCCCTCAGTGGGCGCTGTTGATGCCCTGTCCAGCCACCTGTTACAGCTGGAGCACCCATCCCCACAGCTGGAGTGTTCCCTGCTCACAGCTCACAGCTTTCCCTCCCCTAGAGAACGGCCCTCCAGTCCAATGACTGCATGAGCCCTCAGACCTGACCACAGCCAATAGCAGATGGTCACAAAGGGGCAAGAGGTCAGCCTTCACCCCAAGGGGAGATCAACTCTATGGTGTTATTCAGGCTGCAGGGCTGCCGGTGAAGCGAGGCTGAGCTCTGGCCTCTATCCTACTCTGCTTCCCTCACTCCTTTCTGCTAAGCATCCTCCCTCAATTAACCCTATGTGCAAGAATCCTTATGGCAGGAGGGGGTGTGGCCTAAGAACCCCTCTCAGCCATCAAACACTTAGCTGTTTCTGGACCCCCAGTCTGACATGGGTATGCACCTTAAATCCTGTGCATCTCTCCCACATAAATACCACCTCCACCAGGAAGCCTTCCTTGACCCCCACTCCAGGTTAGGGACCTCCTCTGCGCTCCTCCCACACCAACACTCAGGATGATCTATACTTGTTGGAATGTGCTTCCTCCCAAAGACTGGGGACATCCTGGGGACAGGGAAGGAATCGTGTTGGCTGTTGTATCCTAGAAAATGGAAAAACAAGTGAGGAAGAAGAAAGAAAGAGAAACTGATGAATCTCCTGCATCCAAGAAAGAAGACCAAGGATTTGAGGGGGTGGAGAATAGCAGCAGCTGGGCCCCTGCCGGGGAGAAGGGTGGGGGTCCTGGGAGGGCGTTGGTCACTGAGGGGTGTCAGGGCGGCTTCCTCCTCCTGGGGTCATGGTCCCCCCAGGGGGGGCTCGGTAGGACCAGCCCGGGTTTCCAGGGCGCCCCAGGAGGCCTCACAGCGCGCAGCTAGGTCATCCTCGCGGCTATGACTTATTGCAGCGGAAAGATACAAAGCAAGTCCACGTAGGGGAGCAGGGCGAATGCGCCTGGGCTGAAGTTCAGAGGAAACCAGCCGCCAGTCCAGCAGTTGCGCGAGGCCAGGGGTGAGGGAGGGACGGACCAGAAAGGGGTCGAGGAGACTTAGGGGGCGTGTTGCACTCTGAAAGGAAGCGGCCCAGAACCACTCTGACGACGCTGGTAAGGCTGGCTCCGAATAAAGAGTGCCCACCACTCTGCCCACTGAACTGCGCGCTGAGGGACCCGGTGGTTTCGTGCGCTGCAGAGGGAGCGAGTTACACGCATCCTGAGTTTCTCCAACGAAGTGTGACTTCTTAGGTTTGATTAGAGAGCTGGTCTTTTTTTAAAAAGCTAAGAAACCCATCTAAATGTACACTTCCTTAAAAATAAAAGGAAATAACAAGACCGGTGCCGTTTCCCAAGGGCACCCTGGCCAATAAGAAATGTTTCTTGAAACCCTTCCTCTTCAATGGGCAGCGCCTGGCGAGCTCTGCGTCTGTGCAGCCCGCGC